CACCTGGAGCCCTAAAACCTCTCCCTGAGCACACTGGCATCCAATGGACTGAGACTTTTGTGACCTTGTGCAACCCCTGGCACTGCCAGGAATGATTTTGCCCTTCCTGCTGCAGAAGGGCATTTGCTCCAGGGCTGACCTTGGCTGGGAGATGCCAGGAACGGGGGAGCGTGATGAGGAAGAGGGGACAAACCTGCTTTTTCACGAGGCCGGGCCAGCAGCCAGGCAGGCCGTGAATGATTTTGCCCTTCCCGCTGCAGAAGGGCATTTGCTCCAGGGCTGAACTTGACTGGAAGATGCCGGCAAAGGAGGAGCATGGTGGGAAAGAGGGGACAAATCTGCTTTTTCACGGGGCCGGGCCAGCAGCCAGGCAGGCCATGGACATGCACACAGCTGCGCAGGCAGGTGCCCAGGAGCTCGGCCGGGCCTTGCGGGAGCAGCTCAGGCTCATCCCACTGGAGTCCGGCTCCTCTCCCCGCAGCCCAACAGCAGGGATGCTCCGGGCGCCATCCCTGACCCTGCCTCTTCCCGCAGAGCCCTCCCGGTGCCGGAGCGCTCCCCGAAACGTCCCGGCGTGGGGACAACGTCTGCCAGCAGCGGGAGCCGGTGTCGATACCGACTCCACGGGGGCCTCTTGCCCGTGCAGGTCCCCGGGCAGCACCTGAGCCCTCGCCAAGGGGCACCAAAAGGCGAGCGGAGGCCCCTGCAAACCAGCTCCACTGCCGCTTCCTCACCCCGTGCACCCTCCAGATGGAAAAGGCCAAGGGGGAATTATTTTTGGCAGAGGGTTTTGCCAGGGAAACAGCCCTGGCAGCACAGCCCCTCCGAGAGGAGCCTGCTGCCCTGGGACACGTGGGCCAGCGACCAGCCCTCAGCCACCCCGACTCCACGGTTTCTCCCCAAAACCGGCATGGGTGTCCCGGGCTGCCGCGGGGGAAGCGCGCGGGCCCTGCCGTGCCGCCTGCCTTCCCCACCCGCTGCCGCAGGAAGTCAAGTCCTAAGAGGATTTTTTGTCTTAGACAACAAAAATAAAATCCCGCTTTCCGGTAGCTATAAAAATCCTACGGAAAAACTTTCTCCCGCTCCAAGCGGAGGCTTAGAAACGTTTTGGCTCGCTCGGCCTTGGCACAGCCAAGGCTTCCAGGACCGTAAAACTCTGGATTGCTGCGTGGGCTCAATCCTGTTCCCCACCCAGAGCGCTTTAAATGAGGGAGCACAACCAGGACATGGAAAAAACACGGGATGAGGGTTTCTCCACCGGATCCACCAAAGGGCATGCGGGGCCACCGACTCGCTCCCTCTTGCCACGTGCACCCTCAAAGCCCCCGGAAGGTCAATGCCTGGTGCAGGGGCTAAGCAATGGGACCGGAGCAGACGCTCCGTGCGGGCGGCAGCTCCTCTGCTCGCGCTGGGCAGAGCTCGGAGCGGCTCCCCCGCTGCTCGCACCCATCGTGGGGATGGTTGGTGAAGGCCACGCTGAAGCGAGCCCGGCCACGGGTCCCACCTCATCTGCACGGTGCTTGGGGACACCCCAAAACCCGCTTCGTCTTCTCCTAAAAGCAGCAGGGAGTGAAAGGGGGAGGAAAACGCACTGCGGGCAACGTGCACAGGAGGCGCCGAAGGGCCTGTCCCAGAGAGCTCCCAGCAGGAGCCGAAACCTGCCAGGCAAAGAGCCTCGCTCGGGCGTTATTTAAATCCTTTCACCTCTCTTTATGCCCTTCCTCGGAGCCAAAGCAGGCGCTTTGAAGCCAGGCGAGATGCAAATGCGCTGAGGTGGGAAGATGCAAACAAATGCAAACCCTGTGCGAGGAGAGGCCGCGACGCAGCAGCCTCGGCGCGACCCGGGCCAGAGCAATGCGGCGCCTCGGGAGCCTCCAAAAACCCCTGGAGGGGACTAAGCAGAGGCCTCGGCGGAGGTGACAGTCACTCCCTGCTGCTCCCTGGCTCCCGGCTTGCTGCGGATTTAAGGAATTGGAGGTGGCGTCGCCGGCCTGTCCTCTGCGGTGCGGCCCGCGGGCGCCTGCCCGGTGCCCTCCTCGAGCGCGGGTTTGCTGCGGGTTGAGGGAAGAGAATAAATAAATGCAAAAAGAAATAGAAATAACACAGGGCAGAGACGCCAGGACAATGACAAGGCAGGGATTTCAAGCACGCCTTTGAAGAGCAGGTGCTTTGATACACGGCTCAGCACAGGCGTGGGGATTAGGTCCAGCCCGAGGGCCACGGGGAGGCTTTGACTCGGGGAGGGCAGGACGGGCCCTGTCTCCATCCGCCCGTCTCGGCCGCGGGGGCAGCGCCCGGCCCCCGGCC